CTGAGCAACCTGCTCTAGTTGCAGATGTCCCTGCTCCCTGCAGGGCTTTGGACTGGATGTCCTTGAAAGATCTCTTCCCACCCAAACCATTCCATGATTCTGTGGTATTACTATTTCCTTACACAGCCTAAAAAAGGAGCCTCCAGTAACCAGTTCTGATGTAGACACCTAAAGCCAGTGAGATGAGAGCTCCACTCGTGGAGCTCAGCTCTGCTCTGGCTTCAGACATCACCATGCTGGTGCAGCTCCTGGTGCAAATTCATCTCAGTATAGGGAAACAAATTGGTCTGTCCCCTTCAGCAGAGCTCTGTCACCAGCTAATGAACGGCCCTTAAAGACCATAACAATCTTTCTGATCTTACCTGTCAGGTAACAGAGGCCCTCTGCACCAAGCTGGCATGACCTCTGCCCCACACCTGAGCCAACGCCAGGGGGGCACCGTCTGAGGGGCTCCTTCACCTACATGGAGATTCCTACACACGTTTCCATCAGGCAGGGCATTACACATGGAAAACTACAGGCTCAGGGGGCTGCACCACCATCCTGACTGGTGGTGTTTCACCCACTAGCTGTAATTCCCATCCAAGATATTCTTTTCCAGGAGATAAGGTGTTCAGGAGTGTTCAGGATTTCTTATATGCATAAGAAGTAAATGTAAAAATGGGTTAAAAAAGGTGAAGGAAGAGGAAAGCTGAGACATGGAGTAGAAGGAGAGCTCCTTTGGGACTGGAAGAACCAGCAAATCACTGCTCTGAGAACATCCAGCTGGGAAACATGAGTCTCCTGCAGCTCAGCAACAGCCCAGGTACCGAGGTGTCACTGCTGGGATATATTCAAGTGGAAGAAGTAATAAGAATAATTCTGGCAACTTTGCTGTTTCCACCTCCCCAAAGGTTAATCACAGTTTCTCTCAGCGGGTCCCACTGCTCAGGTTTGCTGCTTCCTGCTTCACCACCCTGCCCAGCATGAAACTTTTGCTGGAGCTCTTTAGACCATCCACTTGGAAAAAAGGTTGGGCTTGATAATCTTAAAGGTCTTTTCGAACCTAAATGATTCTATGACTTCCTAGCTCAAAATATTTTTTCTTCTCTTAAGAGCTTCTGAGCTGAAATGAAGTGAAACTGAGTCACATGGAGACAAGCTGGGAAAAAAGACTCCTTGCTCTGGTGGGGATTGCAAAAAAAAACTGATCAGAGATGAGGAGAGGAAATTAATGGGCAGAACAACTGACCTTGAGGTAAGCAGAGGACTAAAGGCTGAGACCTCACATTGCCCAGCCACAGCAGAACCTTGCTTCCCTCAAACACCATTTTGCCCCAGGCACCACACACATTTTATCCACCTCAGCCAAATAACCTGCTTATCATCCTGAGGAAGACCATGACCACGCAAGCCCTAACCAATGGCCTGGGCTGCTGCTGCACATGGGCTGATAGAAACACAGAATCATTTTGGTTGGAAGAGACCTTTCAGATCATGGAGTCCAACCATTGACCCAGCACTGCCAGGTCCCCACTGACCCATGTCTCTCAGCACATCTCCAGGGCTTGGAAACCGCTCCAGGGATGGGGACTCCACCACTGCCCTGGGCAGCCTGGCACAGCCCTAGACAACCCTCCAGGGCAAGAAATTGTTCCTCAAGGCCAACCTCAACCTCCCCTGAGGCAACTTGAGGCCGGTTCCACTTGTTCTGTTCCTTGTTCCTTGGGAGAAGAGCCCAACCCCCACCTGGCTCCAGGCTCCTGTCAGGGAGTTGTGGAAAGCCAGAAGATCTCCCCTGAGCCTCCTTTGCTCCAGGCTCAGCACCCCCAACTCCCTCAGCTGCTCCTCACCACCCTTGGACTCTAGACCCTTCCCCTGCAGCTTCATTGCCCTTCTCTGGCCATGCTCCAGCCCCTCAAGGTCCTTCAGGGAGGGAGGGGCCCAAAACTGACCCCAGGATTCCAGGGGCAGTCTCCCCCGTGCCCAGTGCAGGGGGATGATCCCTGCCCTGTTCCTGTTGGCCACACTGGTGTTGATAGTCTCTCTACAACTGAGGAACAATTTCTTGCCCTTGAGGGTTGTCCAGGGCTGTGCCAGGCTGCCCAGGGCAGTGGTGGAGTCCCCATCCCTGGAGGGGTTTCCAAGCCGTGGAGATGTGGTGCTGAGGGACATGGGTCAGTGGGGACCTAGCAGCGCTGGTGAATGGTCAGACCATTATGGTCCATGACCTTAAAGGTCTCTTCCAACCTAAATGATGCTATAATTCAATGATTCTATGCTCATCCTCCTCCATCCTATGACAGCTGGTGCCCCACCAAGGGAAGGCTTCCAGCCGAAACCAGGAGGCTTGTCATCTCTGGGGCTGAGTGTGCTGTCCCCCAGCCCCAGCACCAGGAGACAGCTCACACAGTAAGTGACACTGCTCCACTTAGTGAAGGCTCACGAGGGAAGCAAGGACAGCAGCCCCCATGGGAGTGGTGGGGGTCTGCCTTGGATGGTGGGGGGGTCTGCGAGCAGAGCCTGCATGGAGGAGGAGATGGGTTGGGACAGGGAACGTTGTCACCTCCTCTTGGTACGTTGATCTGCACCGCAGCTGTAAAACCAGCTTAAACCAACCCTCCAGAATTCATAACTGGATTTCTTTACAGAGCAAAACCCAGGAGCATGTGAGAACTACAAGGAACTGTGATTCTTCTTCATCCCACCAGACTCTTCCCGGGGGTTAGTAAAGACGCTGATGACTCAGTGAAGAGAGGTACATTCATTAGTTTTCTGTGCCAGAAAGTTGGAATATCTGTGTATGTATTTTAGTCCAGAAAAAAGGCAGAGGGTAGAACAAAAAAATGAAATATAATTGAAGAGAACCAAACCAGGGCATTTCCAGAGGGACTGATCCTCCGAGGACAGAGACGAGCGGTCACTGAACCTGCGCCCGAAAAGCCAGGCTGCGTCTGGGAGGGGCCCGCCGGGGGTGCACGGAGAGAGAAGATGGCATTTACCAGGAGAGCCAGCGTGGGCCGCAGCGCCCGGCTCGCTGGGAGGGAAACCCCCCGCTCCTCTCCTCAGCCCCCTTTCGTGTGGCAAGACAGAAAACGCCTCCAGGGAAGCAGAAGCTCCCTCGCTGTGGGCAGCGGGGCGCCCAGTGCTTGCCACACGGTGTCACCGCCCGCAGGGACACAGGGCAGTGCCACCGAGCCTGGCGCCGCTGGGAACGGCAAGTCCTCCCTCAACCCCTCGCTTGCCGTGGCTCGAGCAAGGCACGAGGAAGCTGAGGCTTCAAGTCTCAGATGAAGGCTCGTACCTCGTGCAGCTCACACGCTCCCAGGACCTTCGGCTGCCACTTGGGACTTTTCTTCAGACATCCCTCCCCCCCAGCTCAGCCTGGAGCAGGCTGACCAGAGAGGTTGTGGAGTCTCCTGCTCTGGAGAGATTCCAAACCCACCTGGATGTGACCCTGGGCACCCTGCTGTGGGTGACCTGCTGGAGTAGGGGGTTGGATGAGATGATCCCCAGAGGTCCCTTCCACCCCCACCATGCTGGGATTCTGGGATTAATGCATCTTTGCAAGTGCTTTACTAGAGCTGTTGAGGCTGGTTTCTAACACTGATAGTCACAAAGACCAGTAGGTCACCATTACCTGCTTGAGGCCTGAAACCTGCCCTAGACACACCCAACCCACAAACCACCAGCTCCAACCCCTGAGCCTTGGAAACATGCAGATATCCACTTTCCTCCTGTCTTAACATCCTGCAGGTGACCCAAATCCTTGGTGCTCTGCTTTCCTCCCCTCATCACCCTGAACCCAACCTCAGCATTTGCCTCCAGACCTTCACAGCATCTAACCAGAGCCCCAAAACACGATGGCACATATGGGCACCTCCTGCAGTGCACACTGCCAACCCTAAGGCTCTTCTGTTCCTCTTCCTCACCTTCTACCCAGTTACACAGACCTGGTTTTGATCAAGTCCTCCAAATAAGTGACCCAATTCAGACACAACTAAGATGACTGACCAAGGCCAGGTTGGATGGGGCTTTGAGCAGTCTGATCTAGTGGAGAGGTGTCCCTGTCCATGGCAGGGGGGTTGGAACTGTATGATCTTTAAGGTCCCTTCCAACCCAACCCAGTCTATGGGTCTATGTCAGTACAGGCTCCCCTCTCCCAGCTGGGGCTCAGGAAGCTGTTCTCCAGCCATGTGCTGCTCCCTGACTGCTGTCATAGAGCGCCTAGAACTTCTCCTCAGTTCTCCTATTCCCTTCTGCAACACCTAGAGACAGGAAACTGTACTTGGAAAATGCCTTTTTGGGAGAAGGAAGGCCAAAAAAGGAGCAGGCTGCCCAGAGAGGTTGTGGAGTCTCTTCTGGAGGGATTCCAAACCCACCTGGATGTGATCCTGGGCACCCTGCTGTGGGTGACCCTGCAAGAAGGGCAAGAGGTGCAAGCCCAAGGCTGGGCAGGGGGTGAATTCAGGTCCTTTTGCATCCCAAACAAGTGCTCTAAGCAAGGGGAGTTTGGGATAATGACTGTTTTCTTCTCAATATACCTCCGTGGTTTTTTTTGGTAAATGCTTAAATTCAGTGAGTTGAACAGAGAATGTGGTCCACACATCTACTAAGTACCAGTTCTGCTGGAATTAACAGGCTCTGAGCAAAGCCAGCAGTGGTTGCTCTGGGACACTTATGGACATTTCTGGGACAGGCAGAGACATTCCTGACCATTAGCAACAAATAATTTCATTTTGGTAATTTAAAACCTAACTTAGATATCTTAATACCTCCTAACACTATGAATATCATGCCCCATCCCTGGAAACATTTGAGGTCAGGTGGGATGGAGACCTGAACAACCTGCTCTAGCTGCAGACGTCCCTGCTCAGTGCAGGGGGGTTGGACTAGAGGTTCCTTCTCACCCACACCCTTCTACAGTTCATTCAATCATTCTATGAACTTCCTCTCCAGACCTGCCCCACGCTGCCCAGCAGACGCAGACCCACCGCGCGCAGCTACCGGGGCCTACGTACATTGTATGGACATGGGGGACACGATCTCCTCGTCCAAATCGTCCACGTCATCAGTCATGATGAAGTGCGAGGGGTTGGGCCGGGGGGTGCCCATCCAGCTGGGGTCAATGTTCAGGGCCGAGGCCAGGCTGTGGATCCCCGGGTTGTTGACGATCTGGAAGCCACAGAGCAGCTCGATCTGCTGCCAGCGGTGCAGCCGCTCCCGCAGCGCCGCCGTCACCTCGCTCAGCGCCTGCCTGCAAGCAGGGGTCACAGGAGGCAAACAATGTTGGGAATGGAAGAGAAACACACCACAAACTGTCTGAAACAGGGAGTCAGGTGGTTCAGCTTTGGACCTAACAGCTGAGAGAACTTTCATTCCGTTCTCAGGAATTAAAAAAAATATCCAGGAGTATTTCCAGCACCAGTGTGGCAGCAGGAGCAGGGCAGGGATCGCCCCCCTGCAGTGGGCACTGGGGAGGCTGCCCCTGGAATCCTGGGGTCAGTTTTGGGCCTCTCCCTCCCAGAAGGCCCTGGAGGGGCTGGAGCATGGCCGGAGAAGGGCAACGAAGCTGCTGGGGAATGGTCTAGAGCCCAAGTGTGGGGAGGAGCAGCTGATGGACCTGGGGGTGCTGAGCCTGGAGCTGTGGAGGCTCAGGGGAGACCTGCCTAGGACAGTGGTGGAGTCCCCATCCCTGGAGGGGTTTCCAAGCTGTGGGGATGTGGTGCTGAGGGACATGGGTCAGTGGGGACCTGGCAGTGCTGGGGCAATGGCTGGACTCCATGATCTGAAAGGTGTCTTCCAACCAAAACATTTCTATGACTCTATAGTGATTTCAGATCACTGCAACCTCCCGAATCCACATTTTACCAGGACTTTTACTTGCTCTGCACAACTGTGATTTCTTGATTTACACAGATAAAACTTACAGGTTACTGTTTCAAAGGTGCCAGTCCTATCCCAGGCAACTAAAGTCAACAGAAGCTCAGCAAAATGAGATGAAGAACATCTGTACAGGCTGCAGGACACTCGTGCCCAATACGAGGCAGGAACAAGGGAAGGTTTTCGGGAGATACTCACTTTGCAGTTAAGATTTTATGATCAACATCGTCTAGAGATGAGCTGTGAGCAACGTGAAATGTTCCAAACAGCGTGTTTCGCTTCTTTTTAATTTTTTCAGCCTGGAACATCAATAGAAAAAAAAGTCACAGGAAGAAGAGGACCTTATGTTTCCTCCAGGACAAGAACATCCTGGAGGAGCTGAGCCAGAAATAGGCCATGCAGCTGTTTGCACCCGCAGAGATAGTGTGAAATGGGTTTTTGCTGAGGGATATTATTCTTCCTAACACAGCGGGTGAAAATTTGCCAGCAGCCTGTAAGCAGGTTAGGGTTTCCTCCTCCTTCTGCTTTCCCAGGAGTCAGAGGGAACCAGCTACTTTTCACACAGGTCTCGCAGAGCCTTGTCGCTTGAGTAAACTCTCAGAGAAACGCCATCGGTGCCTTCGGGCTGCTGGTGTGGGGAGGTTTTTTGGTGTGGGGTTGGGGATTTTTCTGCCTTCCTTTTGTGGCACTGTCTGTAGGTAAAGTCTCTCCACGCAGCTATTTCCTATCAGACCAAGAAAGAGAGAGTTGGGCTTTGGCAGCCTGCAGAGAAGAAGGCTCCAGCTGGGGAGACCTTCTGGGGGCCCGACAGGACTTCCAGAGGCCTCTCAGAAAGCTGGGGAGGGACTTTTGAGCAGGGCCTTTTGGGACAGGACAAGGGGGGATGGTTTGAAACTCAGAGAGGGAGATATAAGCTAGACAGGGGAGAAAATTTTTCATGTGGAGGGTGGTGAGCCCCTGGCCCAGGTTTCCCCGAGAGGTGGACACTGCCCCATCCCTGGAACCATTCCAGGGGAGGTTGGCCGGGGCTCTGAGCAACCTGCTCTAGTTGCAGATGTCCCTGCTCCCTGCAGGGGGGTTGGACTAGATGACCTTGAAGGTTCCTCCCAACCCAACCCATTCTGTGACTCCTACAATTCTCTCTGATTCACCGATCTCATGGCATGAACTTACAGAAGCTAAACCGAGGAGGTGGACAGAAGAACCAAGGCAGCACAAGGGAAGCCCTCGAAACATTAAAGCACTGAGAAAACACCATACTAAGGCAGAGAAATGTTCCTCTGCTGCCAGCTCTGGCTGCTGCCTGTGTCCCCAGAGACTAGCACATGTCACAGCAGCTTCCTGGCAGCTCATTGCTGTTTGGTTGGCACCCACAATTTGGAAACAGCTGGGAAGACAGAGATGCCTGATCACTCCAACGCTGCAGGCCGATGTTAGACCTAAATCACCTAGAGCAGGAATTACGCTTCAATAGGTGCAAAACCTTCTGCATCCTGACCACCCATGTTCACACTGGCAGCAATTCATCCCCTGCCCCTTTCCAGGGCTCCAGCCTGCTGGAGACATTGCCCTGACAGGTGGTTCCTCATGATCATTTTCAGCCCCTCTATGAAGGTTTTTGCTGCACTTCAAAAAAATGCAAATTTAAGGCATTAAACAGGAGGTAGAGAAGGTGCAGAAAAACCAACTCTGCAGGTTTCATTCCCCAAGCCCTTCTGCGTGGGCAAGATGCTGAAGTTCTCACCCCTTCCTTGGCCACCAGCAGCTGCTTCTCAGTTTCTTGATGTTATAGTACTGGACCTCCACCTCGTGAGTCAACTGGAGCCACTTCTGCAGGGCCTCTGGTGCAGCCCAGCTGCAGTGGGACTCCAGCTCCTTCTCGGCGTTCTTCAGCGCCATCCGTACCTGGGGAAGAACCAGACGGTGGGATGCTGCAGCAGGGGTGGGGACAACCTGCCCTCCCGGCAAGGCCATGCCAACTGCTGGCTGCCAACCTGGTACTTGTGGGGCACCAGCAAAAAAGGAAAAGGTCATGTTGGAAGGAGCTTTGAGCAACCTGGTCAAGTGAGGGTTTGGGACTAGATGATCTTGAAGGTCTCTTCCAACCCAACCCACTCTATGATACATATGGGGTACAGGGAGGTCCCCTGTGTGAGGGATGACCAAAGGGGTGGCAGGTAAAGGGGGTGGCTCACCAGGGTCACTGATCATGATAGGATGAGGTTTAACGGTTACAAACTCAGAGGGTAGTTTTAGAATAGATATAAGAAAGAAGTTCTTCACTGTGAGGATGGTGAGGCACTGGAACAAGTTGCCCAGAGAGGACGTAGCTGTCCCATACCTGGAAAAATTCAAGGTCATGTGGGATGGAGCTTTGAGCTACATGGTCTACAGGGGGGTTGGAACTAGATGATGTTTAAGGTCCCTTCCAAATCAAACCATTCTACAGCTTTGTGACAGAAAGACTCTATGCAGCTTAATGTTACTCACAACAGAAGCAGAGGTCATTAGGAGAGGTGGAATCCTGGTACTGCAGGAGGGCAGCAGGGCAGCCATCCAGACAAGGCTGCTCCTCCCATGACCAGAACACCCTACAGCAATTTCCTTCCATCCAACAGCTGAGCTCTTTCCTCAACAACTTCCAGCCCTCGCGATGCTGTCCTGCCTCAACACCTCAGCTCTCCAGGAGAGGAAGCCAGAGCTGACCTGGTCTACCCCATCAGATCACCTCCTCTGCCTCACCACAGGTAATGTGTCCAGAGCTGACAGCATGAGGCATGAGCTAGTTAAAGAGAACTGGACTTAGGTAAGGATCTCGTTGGTCCCTTCTCCCAAGGAACAAGTCATAGCACAAGAGCCCCTCAAGACAAGAAAGATATCAAGGTGCTGGAGCGTGGCCAGAGAAGGGCAACAAAGCTGCTGGGAAAGGGTCTAGAGCCCAAGTGTGGCGAGGAGCAGCTGAGGGAGCTGGGAGTGATGGGCCTGGAGCAAAGGAGGCTCAGGGGAGACCTTCTGGCTCTCCACAGCTCCCTGACAGGAGGCTGGAGCCAGGTGGGGGTCAGGCTCTTCTCCCAAGGCACAAGGAACACGACAAGAGGAAACAGCCTCAAGTTTCCCCAGGGGAGGTTGAGGTTGGCCTTGAGGAACAATTTCTTGCCCTGGATGGTGGTGCAGGGCTGTGCCAGGCTGCCCAGGGCAGTGGTGGAGTCCCCATCCCTGGAGGGGTTTCCAAGGCGAGGAGATGTGGTGCTGAGGGACACGGGTCAGTGGGGACCTGGCACTGCTGGGGGAACAGTTGGACTCGACACTGACAGTCTTTTCCAACACAAACAATTCTGTGATTCTCTGATATTCAGGGTGCTTATGGTAGGCTCTAGAACCTTCTACCAAGTTCACTACCAGCCGGAGGGCCTGGAGAGCCCACAGCTCCTCCTCCCGAGGCCAGGCCGCTGAGAAGCAGTGCAGGGAAATCTCTTCTGCTGCAGCTCCCGAGCCAAGCAGAGGGAGCTTGTCAAGAGACAACTTTCACACTGGAGTGAGATGACAAAAATATTTAGACATAAAACATGTGCTGCTTGGTCAGGAAAAGAAATAACACGCCTGGAATCAGCAGTTTCTGTCACTTTCTGGGGGACTCTCCTTCCATCCCAGCTCAGTCTCCTCCACGCACCATTGCTCTGGTCTCCTCCACACACTTGTCTTGCTGGAGATGGAAACGATTACAAAATTAGAAGAAAGTGGGTGATGAGCAAATTGGAAATTCCTCACAAAACCTCACATGAGAGCATTTTGTGCTAGAGCCCATCAAGAATTGACACTTCTCTTCCATTTCACATGACGTGGAGACAGATCATCAAGAACTGAGGCCTACAAGAAAGCTGGGGAGAGACTTTTTACAAATGCTTGTAGTGACAGGATGAGGGGTAATGGCTTTGAAGTGGAAGAGGGGAGATTTACATTAGAAATTAGGAAGAAGTTCTTCATTCTGAGGGTGGGGAGACACTGGAACAGGTTGCTCAGGGAGGCTGTAGATGCCCCAACATTGAATCTGTTGAAGACCAGGCTGGATGGGGCTTTGAGCAACCTGCTCTGGTGGAAGGTGTCCCTGCCCATGGCAGGGGGGATCTTTAAGGTCCTTTCCAACTCAAACCATTCTATGATTCTCTGAATTAACATTTCTCTTCCATTACACACAATGTGGAGAGACTTTAATAAACCTGGAGCCCAACACAAGCCCTGCAAGACTGTCATGTGTCCCACATCAGAAAAACTAGAGGATGGCGACCACAGCTCAGAGCTGCTGCAATCCAGGGAGAGCACAGTGGTGGTGGACTCCCCATCCCTGGAGGGGTTTCCAAGCTGTGGAGATGTGGTGCTGAGGGTCAGCGGGGGCCCGGCAGTGCTGGGGAAACGGCTGGATCTGAAAAGTCTCTTCCAACCAAAACAATTCTGTGATTCTGTGACCGGACAACTCTCCAACCACAGCACCTCGAAGCTCAGGAGGGCGATAGGTGGTTATACACTCTACAAAAGACTTTCCTGATGCTAAAAAAAAGCCCACCCTGAGGACCTTCAAGACCTTTCACTGCCCCAGCAAGCCCTGACCCTCCAACGCAGACCCTCTCCTAGCAGAGGTGGAGCTGGGAGGAAAGGTCCAGCTCCGGAGTCAGGGCACACGTGTCACCAGGACGATGCCTGGATGTTTCTCTTTGCTCTTTGGGGCTCAGGTCTAAGAAACACAGACAGTGGGAGTGGGGCCTGCCTGGGCTCTGCACCAGACCCTGCCCAACGCTTCCCACAGCCGTGGTTCCACCCCCCTGCCTGGTGCTGCATCCCCCTGGTTCCCACACGGCTCAGCCGGGAGCGGAGCGAAGGGAAGCAGTTATTTTAAAGATTGCTCCAACTTGGATCTTTTCCCTCAACGTGTTATTTAACTGAGTCACGTTTCAGCATGTCTGGCAGAGGCGTGATTTTTCGGGAACCAAATCCAGCAGATGCTTTGAAATCCCATATTTTATCCTGGAGGACATTGGTCTAGTCCATCTGGAAGTAGCCGAGAGGCACCACACAGAAGACATCAATTAATTAACCTCTTCTACTGGTGTTGAGCCCCTGGCCCAGGTTGCCCCGAGAGGTGGTCGCTGCCCCATCCCTGGAACCATCCCAGGGGAGGTTGGCCGGGGCTCTGAGCAACCTGCTCTAGTTGCAGATGTCCCTGCTCCCTGCAGGGGGGTTGGACTCGATGCCCTCTAAGAGTTCCTTCCAACCCCAGATATTCCATGATTCTGTGACTCTACTTACAGCACTTATGTGTAATTCAGACTTGTGGAGCAGAGCATTGCCTAAATCATTCCAAAAGCTAGAAATTCAGAACTGCAGACCACAGGACAGTCTATTTTACCCTCTGTGACACCTGCATTGCTGGACACTGCTCCCACCTCAGGCAGAACCTCTGACCATGATCCTTTTGGATATAGGAATATGCAGAATAAGTTGGCAAGAAATTTGCCATTCGGCATCTGGAGTGCTCAAAACATTTAGAGGAACAATGTTTTTACAGAATGGTGGAAATGGGAAGCCAAGGACCAGTTTTGGAAATGACATCAGACAGAGGTGGCCAAAATACAAGTCCTCTTGGTTCTGCTGGGGAATCGATACAACCAGAGATCACTCTGAGTGTCTGTTCATCTCTGAAGAATTTGAAGATCCCATTTTGATCATTAAGAGCAACAATTTACAAAGGAAGTACCAGGCTGCCCAGGGCAGTGGTGGAGTCCCCATCCCTGGAGGGGTTTCCAAGCCATGAAGATGTGGTGCTGAGGGACATGGGTCAGTGGGGACCTGGCAGTGCTGGGGGAACGGTTGCACTCAGTGATCTTAAAGGTCTCTTCCAACCCAAACAATCCTGGGTCTGCAGCCCCAGTTGGGTCCATGGGCAGGGAAGGATGATCTAGTGAGGTAAGAATAACTCAATAGAGGAGAGTCTCACGCCAGCAATACATGGCTTCTCCATCTCATACGCAAGAGCTTCTAAACCATCCAGTTACCATTTCAGTGTAAAAATCAACTGGTGCAAAAGAAGCTCTTGTTTTAACGTTCCCTGGGACCAAAGTAACGCAACAGTTCAAATCGGATGAGTTTTGGGTCAGTGGGAGTGAGTGGTTAATGCTACCTGTGGTCTACAGCTCCCTGGGACAGTGCCCGTGTTACAGTCACACCATGTGGGTCAGGTGGGGACAACCAATACTCACCCTGTCAACGCAGCCCTCCTGAAGGCCTCTGAGAAACAACAGAGCACTTGAGTCACCTCTGGCTGCCCGGGTTTAACAAGTGTAAAGTGGAGGGGGAAGAGGAAGGAATAAGACTCTGTCTGCCTTCTCCAAAAGCCAGGAGCAGGTGGAGTATAAGGGCTTGGGGTTACAGGAAGAAGGCTACACATCCTTCAACCTAAATCTACAAGAAGGACCTTGAGGTGCTGGAGTGTGGCCAGAGAAGGGCAACAAAGGTGCTGGGGAAGGGTCTAGAGCCCAAGTGTGGGGAAGAGCAGCTGAGGGAGCTGGGGGTGCTGAGCCTGGAGCAAAGGAGGCTCAGGGGAGACCTTCTGGCTCTCCATAGCTCCCTGACAGGAGGTTGGAGCCAGGTGGGGGTCAGGCTCTTCTTTCAAGGAACAAGACAAGAGGAAACAGCCTCACGTTGCCCCAAGGGAGGTTTAGGTTGGCCGTGAGGAAGGATTGCTTGTATGCAAGGGCTGTCCAGGCCTGTGCCAGGCTGCCCAGGGTAGTGGTGGAGTCCCCATCCCTGGCTGCACTTGATCATATTAAAGGTCTTTTCCAACCTAAATGATTCTGTGATTCTAAGTTCAATACCTCTCCTTGTGAAGGGCAAGCTGGGGTGATATGCAGTGGCAGGAGAACACTCTTGAGCCAGCACCTGCATGGCCCCTGCTACCCAACCCACAAGCAGCAGGGTGAAGCTCCTTCTGACCTTTGTGAAGGTCTTTTCCAGCCTAAATGATTCTGTGATTCTGTGTGTATGGGGGACATGTAACATGGAGCAGTAGGAGAAGCACTTGGATCTTCTCCCCTGCAAAGGGGAGTGGAAAGCAAAGTGGAAGAGCATAAGAAGCAGAACATCACTGGATTTCTCAGCAGGCTGAAGCAGCGTGAGGAACTGCCTGCTGGCATCTCGTGTGTGTGTGCACCCCCCTGGCTGGTCCCTTACCTGCTCCAGCTCCTGCTCAGCGTACTTCTGCCTGCTGAGCTCGTTCTCCGTGCCCTCCCGCAGCTCTCGGAGCCGATGTGCCTCCTGCTTGGCGATGCTGATCTCGTCCTGCAGCTTCTTCTCCAGGTGCACCTTCTCCACCTCCACGGAGCGATGCTCCTCCTGGGCCTTCTGCAGCCTGCCAGACACAGACCGAGAGCCCAGTGCTGTGTGGGCTGTCCCCACGCAGCTCGAACATCAAGGTGAAAGCTCACCGTGCCCAGGAAGAAATTCAATCGTTAACTCCAGAGTCTCAACTTTATGTCTTTTTAGTACTCAGGGAGTGTTTTCGTAATTTTCCAAAGCACATCAAGATTTCCTTTAATAAGTCTCAAATTAATTTGAATTTTCAGTGTTCTTGCAAAAAGTAAGGTGTTTGCTTTTAATAGAAAGAAAAGGGGAGGAAGATCTGCCTGAGCAGGTACAACCATCCAGGTGGGAATTCTCCATGCTCCCCTTGCCAAAGCCCTCAAATATACACGTCTTAATCTTGCCTGGAAGTTATTTTTCCTCATGACAGAATTAAATCAGTAGGAATTATACTGGCAACAACATGGAATTACAGATGATTGGTGCCCATTCAGGAAGGTTCAGCCATTCATCCTGGGGAACCCCATCCCTCTGAAGGAGACACCACAGTGAGGTGTTTCAGGGTTTCCATAACGTCTTTCAGCGTAAACCGAAACAAGAAGTTCAGTAAAATCACATGAGCATCAGGAAGGAATGTGGGCCCTGCAGGACTATGCTGTCCTATACAGGGGTGGGAAAGGCTCTGGTTGTGGCCACCCAACCAAACCTTGTATGAGGGGATCAAGGCACCCTCAGTGAGTTTGAAGATGATACCAAGTTGGGTGGGGTGTTAATCTACTTGAGGGTAGGAGGCTCTGCAGATGGACCTGGCCAGGCTGTGGATGGACTGAGGCCAATGGGATGAGGATCAACCAGGCCAAGGGACAGATCCTGCCCTTGGGTCACAACCACCCCCTGTAGCACTCCAGGTTGGGACAGAGGGGCTGGAAAGTGCCCCAGGGAAAGGACCTGGGGGATTGGTGGACAGGAGGCTGCAGATGAGGCAGCGTGTGACCAGGTGGGCCAGAAGGCCACCAGCATCCTGGCTTGGGTCAGCAGCAGTGTGGCCAGCAGGAGCCGGGCAGGGATCGTCCCCCCGCACTGGGCACTGCGCTGGGGAAGCTGCCCCTGGAATCCTGGGGTCAGTTTTGGGCCCCTCCTTCCCAGAAGGACCTTGAGGGGCTGAAGCGTGGCCAGAGAAGGGCAATGAAGATGCTGGGGAAGGTTCTAGAGCCCAAGTGTGGGGAGGAGCAGCTGAGGGAGCTGGGGGTGCTGAGCCTGGAGCAAAGGAGGCTCAGGGGAGACCATCTCACTCTCTTGAGGGCCATCTTGTCTAGATAGTGCTTTTTCCAACAAAAATTGGACCAGATGATCCTGAGGCCTCTTCCAACCTGTGATTCTATGACAGCACTCAGTTATGTCTTTGATGACCAGGGACAGAACAGAGCCCAGGCACAGACTCATGGGAGGACCCATCGCTACATTTCGGGTTAAGAGTGAAGCTGCTCACTGTCCCAGCCAAGGACTCCTCTCCCTCAGGCTCCTCCTTGGCCTGACACCCGCTTAGAACAGAGTGGATGGGCTGGCCTCTCATCCGTGCCATGTTGGCTCCCTTCTAGGAAAAGGCTCATTTCCAATTTACAGCTCTGTTGTGAACCTCAAGTGTTTTTCCTCCCAATTGCAAGAGACTCTTGCCAAGACATTCCAAGTTTTCAGATAAACCCACGCTCCCTGCCCGGACCGTCAGCGCTGAAGCTCCTCCATACTAGAGCTGCAAGAATCCCAAACCACCAAAATATCTCTCTTTAAAGGAGAAATTCCCCTTTGCAATGACGCAGAACGAGAAGGAATTTTTTTCCCTAAGATAATTCTCCATGCCACTCCAATGAGCTATTTTCCTTTACTACCATTTTTTTCCTGACAGCAGGGCCCACATTTTCTCCTGTTGGCTATGGACAAAACTGTGTCTTGTCAGTGTGCTCCCATTCAAACCTGGCTGACTCAGCTACACTGGTTTCACGTGCACTGAGCTCCAGGAGGTGACAAAGTGCCTTCAGAGCTCCACTTGTCATGAGGGCAAGAAACTGAGGTCACAGACTCACAGAATGTTAGGGGTTGGAAGGGACCTCAAAAGATCATCTAGCCCAAATCCCTGCCAGAGCAGGATCACCTAGAGTACATCACCCAGGAACACGTCCAGGCGGGCCTTGAAAGTCTCCAGAGATGGCGACTCCACCACCCCCCTGGGCAGCCTCTTCCAGTGCTCTGTTACTCTCATCGTAAAGAAGTTCTTCCTCATCTTCAGGTTGAACCTCTTGTCCACCTAGGGCCTTCACAAGTCAGGAGCAGATCTTCAATACAAATCTTCACATAATCTTCAAATGTCAGTAGGGTGTGCTAAGACATTGACATTTTAATCTTGATGGGTCATTTTACAGAATCCCAGTATGGTGGGGGTTGGAAGGGACCTCTGGAGATCATCTCTTCCAACTCCCCTGCTCCAGCAGGTCACCCACAGCAGGGTGCCCAGGGTCACATCCTGGTTTGGAATCTCTCCCGAGCAGGAGACTCCA